TCAGGCTCGTGGTTGGAGGAAGTCTTTTTGCAGACTCAAGCTTTTTCATGTGTGATGGGAGGCTAGCAAGAGGAGGAAGCCTGTTTGCAGGCGTGGTCTCTCCTTGGCTTACTTCCTTGAATAAGATGCTCTTCAATTTTTACCATAAGGGTTTTAGAAAAAAGTATCGTCTTATAGTCGGAAAAATATGGTAAATTGAGATAACTTTATAATAGTGAAGTCTTTACCTTCAGCTTTATCTTATTGTCTCTTGACACAAGAAAGATATTTACCATTGTTCTCTGAAAGGAAAACAACTCCAAATTAAAATGATCCCAAAAAAGAAAAAGGAGAAAACAATAAATAAATACAGATAAAAATGCTGTGCAATGCCTAGCTTCCCTACCTAAGCACTCTGGAGTTACCAGCTCCAGCTGAAAATAATACAGGAGATGTCCTCTTTATCCAATAAATGTATAAATGTGTCACATTTGTGTGTGTGTATATTATGCATGTGTGTGTTACGCATGTATATGAATATACGGCTGAATATACAGACAGCTAGACCTGCCAGAAGCCACATTCTAAGAAGGGGCAGGAACATGATAAAAAGAAATGAAGCAATAACAGAAATAAGGGAAGGATTAGCTGCACTGGGAAGGAAAGAGAAAGGGGAGAGACAAATAGAAAGGGGTAACTGAGCAGTGAAGGATAGAAAAGGAATATGCACATCCAGAAACAGTCTCTGCCAAGCCACAGGCTGATCTTCAGGTTACTGTTCAAAGGCACCTGGGCTTTTCTGCACTGCAGCCACTTGCACTTTTCTCAAATGTAGTCCTTCGTCTCCTCAGTGGAAGCCTTGGGTTTTTTGGGGCATCACTTTTTTATGTAACCTAATAAGTGAATGTTTGGTATTTATTGAACTAAAGATATATTTCTATACATAATTTATCTAATTGATTTCTTTGGCTGGATAGTTCTTTCTGGAAATGTTCAACTGGCTGTAATGGATTAGTTTGTAATATCTACATTACTATTTTTGATATGTAAATAAGGGGTTACTATTTCTGGTAATGTTTAATAATTTTTAGTAATGTTTAATTGTTAAATGGGATTAGATTTTGATTATTAAAGAGAGGGATTGAGGGATTTTGATTAAATGGAAAGGGGGACTATGTACTTATGTTGTTAGGTATTTCTGTTAACTTTTACTGGACCTTTGTTGACTAAAAAGGAGAGCTGAAGATTTAGAATGGGTTTATAGAAAATGGGGTGAAGAATGGAATGAAGATCTATTTGGTTGTATTTTAAAAGACAGTGGTAAATTGTTAATGTTGAATATACTTGTTGGGGATGAAGGGGGAAGTTTTTTCTTATTCCTTTTTCCTTTTTGGGGGGAGATTTTTTTCTGCACTTTTAAAATATTTTTTCTTTTGTTTTTCAAAACTATTTTTGTATTAGGTTTTTGTGTTAGTTTTATCTGTTTAATATCATTCTTAGTAAAATTAGTGAAAAAAAACTTCTTTGGGCTTCTGCTCAGATTTTCCAACTGAACAATCAGCAACAGGAGGTGGTGTAACTGATGAATCGGTGCCACAAGGTGGACCACATGATGCAGGCAAGGTAATTGATAATGCATTGTTTCTGTGGCTATAGATGTATCTTTTTATGTGTTCAAGATAAATCATCAATGCATATAAACTTTCCATTGTAACCAAAGCAAACTTCATGTCTTAAGAACCTCAGTCTAAAATTCTAATGGGAAGCTTGAGAAAGAATGCAGGATGAGGCAGAAGAATACAAAAATGTGTTCAATGCATAGGTTTTAAAGCTCAGGAGGGGATGAAGACCAAGGGTTTGGTACAGAATTTCTCAGAAAAGATTCACCTGTAAGGAGCCACGTGGAAATATTGGATACAGCACTGTGTAAGCGTTCTAGGAGGTTATGCCAGGCTTATAGGAAAGAAAGCATGAATATTCAAGCCATTTAATAAAGCAAAAGACCTTAAAAGGCTAAGTCCTGAGGGTGAAGTGAAGATCATAGATGACGGATGTATTGGGATGGAGAGTGAAGTTGGTGACAGACTACAGAGAATTCCAGTGGTAAGGATGAGGAGCTTGAAGTAGATCTAGGAATGGGCAGAGAACTAGTTTAAGGAGTTTGTGTTCCTTTTGTATCAGGGTTTTTTGTTTGCAAAAACAAGGCATTGATCATTTTTCTGTATAAGGTTAACTATGATTTAATGCTAATATGTCTTACTCTAGCTTCCAGTGATATTTCAAATAGAAATATTGACATTACGGCAGCTGATCAGTTTAATCATATTTTTATTTGTTTGGCATATCTTTATAATGATGGTCCTCCGGTACAACCAACTGGAATGTTATAACCATCCTAGCTTAAACATATATTGTTGGTTCACAGATCATGTAGTATCTCTCTTTTTCTGAAAACTTTTTTTTAGAGAAGCATAGATTAAAAACAATTCCCATCATGAAAATGTGATTCTAAAAAACTTGTGGCTGGTTTTACTTTGATCAGATCTGGGAATGCTGAGATTTTGAAAGACTGCATTTCCCATTTTTTTCTTAAACAGCATTTAATTTATAAATGATTGATATTGATGGCTTGGAACTCTAAATGCTTTTCTGGCCTGGTAACAATGCTGTAAATATTGTTGTTTGAAAGACTACCGATACCCTAAGCCAGTGTTTCTCAACCTTGTCAGCTTTAAGCTGTGTGGACTTCAACTCCCAGAATTCCCCAGCCTGTTGAAGTCCACACGTCTTAAAGTTGCAAAGTTTGAGAAACACTGCCCTAAGCTGCAGTATTATCATACCAATTCCATTAGGCAATTCTTTTTTATGCAGTCTGATCCTTATTACTTTAATACCAGTTAATCTCTTGAATTTACCCTGGACTGTTTGAATTAAAGTTTTTCCCTTCCTCCCCTCTAAAAGGAAATGGATGAGAGTTCACAGCATACATCAATTCATAGTTGCAAGGAGAATGCATTACCTCAGTTCACCTCTATACAGACCACAAGACCCAAAAAAAGAAATCTGTTTATTGGAAAAAGGTAAGTGTTTCCTTCAAACAAAATGGAATTTTGAGTTCATCTTCAGAATAATCTCTTCCTCCCAGTCCAATCATATTGCCATCAACCTAGGGCTTTTAACCTTGTGCTGCTCTACAGCTCTTGCATTCTATTGGCTAAAGATGATGGGAGTTGCAGTACAACATCAGCTAGAGCAGTGTTCCTTTAACTATGGTCTGTGGAACACCAGTGTTCCCTGAACAATATGAACTGTTCACTGATCACTTTCAAAATCATACTACCTTTCCTTCAACATACCTTTGTGAAAAGTAATTTTTCAGCACCTTCTTACAACCAGATACAACTATTGCACTGGACTGAATGTTACACTGTCTCTAAGACTTCCTTGAACAAATTATTCCATTAATATTTTTAATCAATACGTTAATGTAAAGGACAATAAAGTATTATTAAAAGAAGTTTTATTCATTCATTCATTCAGTTCAGAGGCTGCTCAACCCCAGATAACTCCGGGCAGCTTACCTTAAGAAAGTAGAATAGTTAAAAGAAGAAACAGATCTTAAGCACCCGGAAGACAGACTCTGAATTACAATAATTTTATTGTTGTTTTATTTCATGTTCATTTTATTGTTTCCTTTTTCAGTTCCTCCCCTTCTCTCTCTTTTTCTCCTCCACCTACCTGACTTCCTGTTTGCCTCCTGAAAAATAGGGATAGGGACCCATACACTGAGTTACATGCTTAAGATGATCCCATACGTATTATACTTTCAATGTTTATCTTTAAAGCTCACAGATGAGCATTGAATACTGTTTCTTTAATTACCAGGCCTACCATCTAAGGAAATAGCACACAATTACAGCTGTGTAATTACTATGACCTATCTGTGAATGCTTCTCATATTGCCAAAATGCAGCTCAGGGTAGGTGAGTGGATGGATAGATAGATAGATAGATATGGTATTTTATCATGTTTCACTCTGATTTCTCAGCCAGAATGAACGTCCTGCTATGACAGACTTTCTTGTAGAAGACTCTGTTCCCCATAGAAGAGCCAGGGAAAAACTCTGTGAAATGTCAGATAAACTCTCCCGCAGGCTGAATGAACTGGATGCAGTAAGTTAACGCCAACTATTTTTGGGATTATGCTAACCCAATATAATGCTTGTACCTTTCTGCCGTAGAAAAGCCATGTGAGATGACCCAGAGGAGTAACATGGCTGAAGCTAAGCAGACAGACCTGACCAATTTAGAATCCTGCAATCATACTCTAAGCTTTGTTAAATGCCTAAGTACAATCAAGTAAATGTATGCTTGGGATCGTTACTCTTTACAAGAATAACTTTTCTCCAAAACAATCCAATATTAACATTATTAATGCTAATAATTAGATTAGAATTAACATAATTAGAAGACATCATCCTGTATTTTACTGCACTAAAATCATAGCAGGCTTGTGGTGACAACTGTAGATTTGATGTGGCATCTGGCCATCTCTAATGAGAATGGACACAATAGCAAGTTTGACATTTGCCTGGATCAGCTATCACTCCACCTGAAACTGACTCTTGATCTGTCATTTAATTGACTACCAGGGTTTCCTGGGTTTGCTATTGTGGGAGTGTAGAATCAGGGTCTTTGATCCAAGGCTGACTAGCCCAGTGGCTCCTGTATTGTTTGAAGGGGGAAAAATGCCTACTGGAATATATTAACTGAAATCACACCTCAAAATATGACATCGTATGATTTGTTCTGTTTAGCTCTGTGATTTGTGGATTGCAAACTGGTTTGTGGCTTAGCATGTTGTGGATTCTTGGTCAGCAGAGGGATGGACCCAACAGAAATGGGTTCGATCCTCTCTTGCATGAAAAGTCGGGAGGACTTTCTAGGGAGGAACGAGGATTTTTTTTCCTCTTGGCCCCAGACTCTAGAGCAGAGTCTGCATTCTTGACTCCCATCTTTCCTCCTCAAATTAAGTACTGTACAGCAGGCTAACCTAAGAAGCTGCCCAACATGAACTTTGGTCCCCAAGAAGTGATTGCGCTACAATAGTTCTTTAGCATAGCAGGATGTTGACAGAGTAGCAGGTGAGGAGCTATCTCCATTGAAGCTGGACTTTTCCAGTTTCCATAACTCCCACCATTTACCATCAACTGACTACCACTGGACATATCTGCAGTGGCATGTGCATTTTCCTTACTTTGCATTTTATGCATTTTATTCTCTGCTCAAGCATCTGTTTTGTTATTTCTTAACCTGATCTGAAAACGGCCAGTTCCAGAGCCAGAAGCAACACCTAGCCAGATGGTTGCATTTAGTAAAGCAAAATAGCTATGAAAGCTTCTTTGTAAAAGTATGGAACCCGTTTGGGCCTTGATACTATAACTTGGTACTAAGAATCTCTAAGTTCTCCCTCCATAGTGCAAATTATCTAAGTTTGTAGTGCTTTTCATTTTGAAAATGAATTGCATATTATAGAGATTACATATTGCAGAAAATAGTTATTTCCCATTGCCTGGTGGTATAGCAGAAGGCCTTGGTTCCCTAACGTCTGAATAGAGTTGAAAGGAAGAAATACTTCTTTGTTATTTCTTCCTTTCTATGTAAAATGATCCTTTTGCTCATTTTTATCTAACTGCTGAATTGACCTGTGAGCACAACGCAGAATGAATTTGCCATTGCTCCTTGCTAAATTATATGGTGCAGAAAGGAACGTTTTGAAAGGAAGTTCAAGGTTATAATATGTTTATAAGTATCATATTATCAGCCAGTACTGAAAAAGTTCTGGATTTAGGCCTGGCTTATACATGTGATAGAAGGAGATACTAAAGTCCTGCTTGATTAAATGCAATGCATGGCTTCATACTTTTAAGTGTGAGCTCACATTTCTGAACATCATTCTTCAGCAAAAGAAAAGAAAGGAAGAAAAAATATCTACCTGTGGAAATTGGAAAAAAGAAATCTTGCATACTAGTTTCTTACTTGAAGGGAGTTTTCACCCTAGGAAGCATAAATAAAATAGAGTAGAACCTTTCACTCTGGTCTTTAATAGTACAGTCACCTCTTGTCATTTTAGGGTTCTATCAGCCATTCCGTGGCTCGTACAGAACAGGCCTACAGTTGATGGCGCAAAGAGGTGACCTGGGGTGTTTGGAATAAATATTAGACTTTGTGTATTTACATGTGATTTTTTTCTTACTTGATTAGAAACAAGTGTTTAGTATGTAAAACCATGAAAGTTTACTTTGGAGTGAACTCTGAACAGACAGACATCTTTTTAAATCATAGATGTTAAAGCATGCTTTGGGTGAACAAAGCAGGGATGACTTGTCAGCTGATGAGGATACCCTTTCTCAGCACAGTGATAGCATCATGGACTATCGCCAAATAAAACTAGGATCAGGTAACATTCTGAACATGAAATTTATTAATGAGTGAATTGCACTGTTCTGTGTTGGGGCATATAATTTCCATTACATACCTGTCTATCATCTAGCAGTTTTCCTTGATCCGATCCCCTCTTTAACTGTTAGGGCTACAACTTCCAAATTCCTGTTGCCCGTGCTGGGTAGGACTTCTGAGAATTGTCATAGCAACATCTAAAAGCACTAGGTTAGGGAGATTTCTTTTGTATAATGGGCATCACAATTGCTAAACTGAGAGGTTTGAGCAACATCACTGTTGGGATCTGTGTTAACTCAGAAGTTTAAAAATAATGAATAACTTTACAAAAAGCATGAATCTGGCTGCTAAATGTAAAAAAAAAAAGTGAATCTTATTGAAGTAATACAGGGCAGCCCACTATCTGATCCCAGAGACATGACAGGGCAAGCTTTAGAAAGAGAGCTTCTGAAATTTGCCCCACACCATTTGATTACTGAAAGGGCCTTCATGATCCTTTGTCCTTGAACTTATAACCATTTAAAAACAAACAAAAAACTAATCATGGTAGACATGTCCAAAGTTTGTTTCTTTTATAGATGCTCGCCTTCCAAGGAAAGCACCCAGCAGGCGACGGTCATCTTCTGCTTCCCCACCTCCATCTAATTATCAGCCATCACACGTATCAGATAGTCCACTCCAAAAGGATTCAAAAGGGTCAGTGGGAAGGATACGAGTATGTTTGCAAAATGAACAGGATCAGAGGAAGTTAAGAGCAAAGGTAATGGCAGCAGGAATGGAAATGGAGGCACTAAATAAATGCCTTAACAAGTAAATGTATTACTAGATGCTCTTAGCATAGATGGAACCACTAGAACTGGAGTGAAAAGGACTTCCGGTTGTCCAGTTTAGAGGTTTTATACTTTCTTCAAAGGAAAAACACATTCTGAATGTGACAGTACACTGCATGTACCTCCTAATGGGTGGGATGCTAACATTGTATGTTGGCTTGCCAGATGATCTTTAGATATCCCAGATCGGATAGAATAGCATGCCCACGCTTGGGGTAAAATTGGCCCTTGATCATGCTTGTGACATACTGGCCAAAATAAAGCTGACCAGTACTGTTTGGAGGGAATGTTGCATGGAGCATGGGCATGGTTAAGGCTAGTAACCTGGTCTGTCTTTATCATACTAAAAAGTACGTGATTGACCAAAGCCATGGTGGGCGGCAGAGGTCAATGTTTATGGGCCATTGATCGATGACTGGCAAATGGAAGATTGCAACTTGGAATGTTAGAAGAATAAATTGTAAACAGCCTGGATTAATGAATGAAAGAAAAATAGATACATTGTGTGTTTGTGAAACTAAGAATGGGGAAGGATGTAAAGGATCTGAATGAAAGTGGCCCAATCTTGTGGTATGGCGTTGACAAATCATGCAGGGAAGTGAAAGTATAGGTTTAATTAGGCTAACATGTATACTGGAAAGTATGAATTGATGTCATCTAGATTGTTTTGGATGGGCATGAAAAAAGGAATTTATAAGCTGGTAATACATGCATGTTATGGTCCAGTGCATGATGATAGTAGAAGAACCAAGAATAAGTTTGGAAAAAACTGTGGAACATTCCGAATGGATGTGATCCATGTGTGTGTGGGGGAATATTCTGTTAGGTGACATGAATAGGTAGGTTGGAATGAGATAAGAGAGTACATAAAAAGCGATCACATCATTTGGAGGCACGGCAATGAAAAGCTGATCATTGGTGAGTATTTGCATAGAAAAATGGCTTTTGGTTTCCAATCTCTGGTTTTGGTTTAAGTCTCCATACATACACGTGGAAAGGGAATGAATAAAAAAGCATGATTAATTTGATTAGTTTAGATGAAAGGTTGAGAGAATTAATTACTGAAAGATACAAAGGTGATTAGAGATTCTAAATACAGGCTAGACCGCTTTTTAGAAATGTCAGTAGAGGGACTTGGGTAAAAATGGACATGGAGGAAAAGAAAAAATTAGAGTGAAAGTAGAATGACTACAGGAAGAGAAAGTGCAAGTGCACTTGTTTTATTGAATGAGTCTATAGGAGTCCTACAAGAATAATCCATCTGTGAGGCAGGAGTCTGCCTAAAATGGGCTAATCTCCTGATTGAGACTGGCCACTGATCACATCCACTTAAAAAAAACTATTCTGAGTGATAGCATATTTCTGTCAATATTTATGGTCCTGGTTCTTACTTTCTAACTCCATGTTTGGTTTGGAACTTTATCTAAAGAGCATCTTTTATTGTAGACCCACGTCCATGTATTTCAAATTTATGTCATGCCCTGCCTTCTAAATTTAGATAGGTAGAACCAGTGAAGGGACAGCCTTAATATTGGTCCACCTTTGTCTTTCTTGGATCCCTTTTGATTTCCCTGGGTTTAAAAAAAAATACTGAGTTTATCTTGTTCTCTTGCTCTGAAACTTTCAGATACTAATTGCTCTTTCAGTATGTTAGCTGAGTTTTTTTGCTCCAGAATGGCAGCTGAATCTGTTGCAGTAAAAAGAAGGGCATATTATGATTTAAGCTTTAATGGCCTAGGACCCACTTCATTAAATGAAACTCCTGATTTTTTTTTAATTTAGTTTAACTGCATTGAGAATCAAACTATCAAGGGACATGTTTCATAAATGAATACATTGTTACAGGCAATAATCAGACTTTATTGTATCTTCTAGCTTTTGAGTAAAGCTTATGATGAAGAACTAAGAGCATATGAAGCTAGTGAAAGATTGGAACTTGCAAAGCTAAAAGGACAGGCTCAGGAAATGGTAAGATGCTGAACAATGCTGATGTTCTATGCATTTCTTTTTAACTCTCAGTATGGTTTGGAAAATTAATATCTGAAGGGCAGCTTTTGCATTAGTTCTGCTCTCACATATTTACATTTTGGGGAGGATTTTCTCCCCACCAAATTTACCTGAGCAGAACTTTAAATAGTGGCCACCTTTTGCCTGTCTCATGCTTCAGGTCAGTTTTCCTGAGAATCTTGGGAAGGAGTTCCTGTTTTTCAAAGTGTTTCCCTCTCATTGATTGTGTTTTCACTCTGTATTAAAAGCCGGAGAGATCCATTCATATTAGGATCACAGATGTGAACTGATCATAAATTTTGTTTACTGGGATCAAGATCCGTAGAGCCTAGTATGGGTAACTGCTTATTGGTAGTATTAGCGTTATTATTGTGGGTGAAGGAGAAGGATGAAATTCCAGATTTGATTCTTCAGCATACGTAGCATTTTCTTTTATCTGAATTTTAGTTTTATAGCTATGAAAATAGTTGATTTTTATACCTGAAATTTCTTAGGCACTTAAAGATTATGGGAAAGACATTCTTCTATCCGTGATGACTGTGAATTTTAGTAGTTAGTAATAGGTTATCTCTGTGACCAGAGTCAGATAGATAGTGGCATTTAGAAGGTGGCCAGAGACTTATTGAGTATTATTTTCTGTAGTAAAATGCCACTTGGACAGGCACTGGTTACCTGATTTAATATGGAAACATTCACTGCTCACTTAATAGATAGGAAAGTACCACAGATGTGATGACAATATATAAACTTTTTTTTGGAGATGTATATTTGGATTGAAGTATCACTTCCGAAGATTGAGGAAGAGGAGATGTGTCCAGGGGAAGCCATTCCAGCAGACTCTGAGAGGAAACCAATAATCTTTCCCCTGCATGAAGTGGAGGGTGTTGACATCTTTAGCTCCAAACCAGATACTTGAAGATGGAGGAGTACAAAACACAATGTTCTGTACCTGGGAGGGCCAAGGTGTGCTCTACTGTTGGTTAGCGTGATGTGAAAGAGAGGCCTTTCTGCCCTTTAGGATTGTATTTTAAGTCCTTCATCTTAAAGCCACATAGCCAGATTAACCAGGCATTGGACGGCATAAAAGTCTGCTGCGCAGAAAATCACCAGCCTCTTCTTGCACTCTGGGTTTGGCTCCATCTGCATGAACCATGTGAGCTGTCATTAGGACCTGCCTGCATTGGAGTAACTAGTAACCCTGTAACTATTTGTTCTGTGTGTTTGCATTGAGGAACAAAAATTCAAAGAGAACATATTTAAAGAAACTCCAAGAATCTCACATGCAACGAAGATTTATGCTCGAAAAAATATACCTCGGCATTCCAAACTCAACCAGAGGATTTCAAGAGGAGGGTTTGTGAAGCCAAAAAAAGCAGCTCCAAGTAAGAACTGAACACTTCTTGGTAGAGCGCCTGGCAGCCTCTGAAAGCATGTGCTTTCAGAGCATGAGCCAAGAACACTGGCATTTTGGCAGCATATAGCTGTGAAAAACACTTTTCTGATTACCTCCATATGTCTAGACCTGTGCAAGGGAAGTGGAGCATTTAGGGAGCCTTAAGAGGGATGTGCAGTTTATCCCGCAATTTCTTCAAGGTCATGAGGAAGGCTGGGCTTCTACAGCTGCATTAGTTTAGTCTGACACAGGGCTGGTGTATTGCTTTCAACTCAGTACTTCTCCAGGCAGACCACTCCAACAATCCAATCCTTTCCCCTTTCCCCCCTCCCCTCCCCTCCCTTCCCCTTCCTATTACAATTAATGATCCAGATAAAAAACATAGTAATTGGGGATGCTGTGTTTGCTGTCAAGTAATATACAATTTTGTGTGGGTAACTCAAGAAAAGGAGCAGCCAACACATTTTGAGCTTAAAATAACCTATTCTGCTTCTTTTGATTTCAAAATGTGTTGATCCTACAAAAGAACATAAGAGTGTCCTAATGGTTCTTTCCTGTACGCTTTATTCTCACCCAGTATGTGAAGTGCAAAACTCCAGTCTGGGTAACTTCAGATTTGTTCGTCAGTATGCACCATTGTTTAGAAGTATATTAAGACACATGTAAAGAAATGCCCAACTTGGTAGTTTGGAGCATTGCATTAAGCTGTTATACTGAACTGCTGTGCTTGTTTGAGTTAGGCAAAGAGCAGGGAATATTATACAGTGACCATACTAATTAAGTATTTCTATGTGTTTATGATACTTATCTGATGGAGCAAACCTACAGCAAACCTGGTCTAAGATAAAGCAGATGCCTTGTCCACCACTCTGCTTAGCTTGAATGGGAAGGGAAAAGTCAATTTCTTTTTCCTTGTTTTGATTTTTTCCCCTTTCTTTTTTAAATGAATATACTGCCTTATATTAGCTTCCATACAAACATAACAAAAATGTTATAATCTGTATTTAATTCAAACACAGCCAAGTATCTCAATTTGCAATTTTATTTTAAAAGAAGAAAAATCTGCATCTGTAAGGGTTATATAAGTGTAGTAAAAATCAGTAGATAAATTTTCAAAAGTCGGTTCACAGAATAAAACAGGGTTCATGCACTGAGCTTCAACACCAATGTGACTTGTTTGGCTGTTGGGTTTACAAACTGAATCATGTGTAAACCATAGTTTATACCAAGCAAACTGCTTTTTATTTAGTAAACCATAGGTAAAACAACTATTGTTTAGTGTAACGTGTGAACCAATTGATGAGTTGCAGTGAGTCCCAGCTGGCCTTCAGTGTCAGTTTTATTGGGCTCAGTAACATGGCCTTAACTTGCAGAGGCTCCTAAAACTCTGTTTTTCTTGGTGTAGGATTAGAAGGTCTGTCTGAATCCACGTCTATATCATTATTACTGTTTGGGAAAATATAGGCATAACTTTACCAGTGGTAGCTATTTCTCACTACAAATGAGACTGGTGAAGCAGGGGATAATTCTTGGCTGCTATATTCCCCTAGATAGGGTACAATTGTCATTATAGAGCTGGCCATATATGAGAATAGCTAGAACAGAATATAAAACCCCTTTTAAAAAGAAAAGTAGTTTTGGAGATGCTCATTTCTCTTAGTTGGACTCAGCTACAGTGGCGATGGGCACCTCATTGGAAGACCTGAAAGACCAGGTTAGGGACAGGGCATCATGGAGAAAATCTATCTGTGTGGTTGCTGAGAGGCAGCCCCAACCTGATGGCACGTAAACATTTCTCTGCTCTCAAAACATGTTTGTGTGGTAAATTTTTTTCCACGCCCATCCCTTTTTTGATCTAGTTACAGCTCCTAGACCAAAGCAAGCGGCGCTGTTGATGTGTGTTCACACACCATCTACAGTTGATAAGTAAGAATGTTAAGGCAAGTAATGTCATGTGCAGTACAGTGACTATGAATTTGTATTCCCCAGTCAGGGCGGCCTCCAAATGTGGGTGTCCAGGTGGGGGAAAGCTGTTTTAAATGGCAGTTTAAAGCATAAGGCCCGGTTTTCAGCTGTTCATTGCTTAAGTCTGTGTCTTTCTTCCAGTGAAAGTCAACGAGAACGATCTCTTGCCGCTGCTGCTTGAAGACTTTCCCCACCTGCACATTTCCCATCCAACAATGAACAAGATGTGGCAGCAGCAGCTTACACAGATAGAGCAACTGAAATGTCCCAGTGATCGAAACCAGTTTAAACTGCAAAATGAAGTGAGTTATCTGCAGGCTAAAGAGAGTCACGGCCTTTCAAAAGTGAGGTGCAACAATGTGCCAGCACTGGCTGAAAGAAGCAAACATGGGCTGAATGTGCCATGCGCTAAGCAGGACTACTAATGGTACTCCTGGTTTTTCTTTGGCATGCTATTAAAGGCAGTGAACTGGTCACTATGTTTTTTCAGTTACTATAGGAGGGTCTGAGATTTTTCATTCAACCAGAGGTTTATTTTTATATGTTTATATCATTCGATCACTTTATGACATTGAAGAAGGAAAGAAATGGGAAAACAGTAGTGGAGGAAATGGACTGCAGGGCCTGATGTAAGGACAGGGAGCAGTCGAAAGGGAAAAGTGGCGGGAATAGAGTGGAATGCATCTGCCTTCAAACATGAGTCTGACTTCCTGTGAGTAAGCCATGATGACTGGGGATGTTGGAAGCTGTAATCCAAGCTGGCATAGAAACTATTCAGCAAGAGTTTCCGGAAGAGAGTAGGCCTAGGCCTGAGAGGTGTTAAATTGGCTAATATGCGGAGGCTTGATAAGTGAACAAAAAATAATGGTTTAAATGAAATCTGTGTACTTCTTTCAGGTATTGGAAACACTGAAGAAGCATGATCTACTTGTGGATCTTCTTAAGAGAGAGCAGGCTCACAACAGGAGATTGGTATATGTGGAAATGAGCTAATGTATTGATGATTATTTAATTTTTAAAAATATTTGTAGGCAGCCTTTCTGATCTACTTCCATGCAAGGCAGTGGAGGAGAAAATGTAAGCCCAAGAATAGAATAGTATAATCATATAACATCAATACTTAATCAAAACATAATTCCGTCTAACAATATATTAGAACATTATTCAATCTCTATAAAATTATTTAGAGCTATGAGAATAAAATAAGAATATGATAAATTAAAACACGATCTATTCATTTGTTCAGGCTGCTGTAGTCTACTGACTTGAGCAGCATGCAACTCTCCAATACATAATTGGGATTAAAACGGTACCATCAGTTGAAAGAACAACAATTTCAACTATTCGAATGCGATCATGCTATACAAGGTGGAACTTTTAAGACTCTAGGCTGAAAGCAGGATACCTTCCAAATGTGTATGGGCTTAGTTGGGTCTCAGTCCTGGGAGTCATTCCCCAACAAGTCTGGGGCTTGACAGATTCCAAGGCCTGCTGCAGTGCCAACCAGACACCTGACATGCTGGAGCATTGTCACTTTTCTAACTAGAGCTGCACCATAGGAAGGGGAAAGAGCATCATGACTCAGAGCATTGCTTAAATATTTGCGGAAAACAGGGATATCTGCCGATTGCTCTCCAGGGAATCTTAATAGCTTTTCCTCTTTTGGTTTGCTTTTCAGCAAGAGCTTAGACAGCGCATTGACAGACAGAAATGTACACAGAATAAAATGAGGGAGAGACGCCAGCAGATTGCCCGAGCCAAAAAGTACTATCAAGATTACAGAGTTCAGCTGCGTGCCAAGATGATGAGGGCCAGGACCCGTGAGGAAAGGGTAAGTTAGGGGCCTCACTCTCCAAGGGTAGGGATCCTTGTGATGCTAGTAAAGAGCCAAGCCAAATTCCCTTTGCCAGGTTGAGAGAGTTTGGGTCAATTTACATCAGTTAATTGACAGATTTGGTTAACTGTGATTCAGGTTGATCAAGAGTAGATCATATATGGAGGACACCAAAGCAAGTTAGATACCTTGGGTTATTGCTTCTCCCTCTTGCTAACTTTTTAAACAAATAAGCGGTCCCAATTACTATGCCCTTTGCATCACAAAGGTAATATAATGAGAATTTTTATCTTGCAGCATATTTTATATTCTGAACATCCTAATCTGCAAGGTCTTATAGTAAATGTTACAGCTGCCAATGATGTGCCCATTTCTGCTTGGCGATAGTTTGATAACAATAGAAGAATCTCCTAAGGGAATAAGGAATTATCTATAAAATGACTGGATGGCACTTATTGGACAAAACTGACTACCATCAGTTAGAACTGCCAAATGGGAAAATAAGATTCAGCTATTTATGACTCTGTGACAAAGTTGAACTTGGGATCTATGTCTAAAGATAGTTGTGTTCCCCTGAAATTGTTAAGTTCCCTTTTTAAACAGAACTGTTCTTATGCTTGTTAGTGACATGTCATTTTGGCAGATATTTAAACACCTATTTGAAGAAGCCTTGGAAATTCAGAAGCAAAGATTTCTTGAGCTGAGGACATATGCCAAGGAAAAACGTGCTGAACAAAAGAGGCAGTATCAAGATGAACTGCAGTCCATGGAGAACTATTATAAAGATCAGGTAGGCTTGCTCCTGGTAACGTAAGGATGCTGCTTGACCTCTCGCAGTACATTATTAATTTTTCTTCCATTGTCCTTTAGTTTTCAATGCTGGCAGAAGCTGTTTCAGAAGAACGTCAAGAAATCCGGACCAGAGAACGAGCACATGCCCAAGTAAGTCTTCTCCCTGTAGAGAGGGAATGCACAACTTTTCCTCAGTGCTTTGGGGATGACTCCCAAATGTTGCAGTTGGATTGTATGCTTTTAATGTGATAAAGGGGGAAATTATACATTTAATTTTAATTAAAATTATAATAAATAAATGGCCCAACCTCTCTTTGAAGTATGTTCCTCAGCCTGCAAAATATGCACAGCTCTCCTATAAAGTTTTAGAATAATAAATGAATTGACAGATGGCTCAACATAATCTTAATGGTTTCTTTTCAGACATTAAATAAAGTGAAACGTGAACTGAGAGCCAAGTTGGAGAAAGAGATTAAAGAGCTGCAGGACATGATCACACATAATGACGATGATTCATTTTTCCGAGAGCTAGAAGCTGATCGCCTGAAATCCAGACTCCTAGTGGCTTCTTTTCAGTATAGCAAGAACTATTTGTTTCTTTAAAGGCCTGGCATGTTTATAAAATACCTACATGGCTTTTTTTCAAGGAGACCAGAATCAAAAATGTAAAGTTAGCAGTTTAGTTTGCTGCCCCAAGACCAAAATTAAGTTGATGTTATGAAAATATTGCACTGATATTTTCAAACAAATGGTTTTTTAAAGACTTTGTCAATAAAGATTAGCTTTCTTACAATCAAAATTCAACTATCTCCTGGGGTAATTTGTGTGGCCAAATTTTATCTTTGCTTATGTATATTGCTATCCCAGACTGGGCTAACGTAAAAACAAATTGTAGATTATGGCTATAAAATCTTCCCAGGTATCGCTGTCAGACTGACTGGCTGGTCATAGTTTGATGTATCTTTTGTCTCCCTTTTGAAGATGGGGATATTTGTTCTTCTCCAGTCATCTGGCACTTGTCCAATTCGCCAAGATTTCTTGAAAATCGTATATAAAGAATTGGCTAGACCAAGACACACAGTTTCTTGTTGGAGAAGTGCTCTGCTGTATAACATTTTATGAGTACTGTATCTAACAAACTATATTAGAGGAAGTGATACCATGTATCTCCAGGGTCTCTATCTATATTCCTCCGTGTACTAATGGATAATGGATAGCTGTTAGAAATTATATTACTTACCTAATGGAATTGCTGAAAAAAAATTCTCTACAGCTATGCTTTTATGTGGCTGCATCTTTCTTTCTTTAGTCCTTCGAAGGCAGAAAATATGAGAAAAAACTTTAACATAGATTTTCCTATCCAAACACCCTCCATTAGAGATAAAAATTTTTATATATTGAAACTAACAGGCCAGCTGTGGGGGCTGGATTTAGGCAAGTTCTATATTGGAAAGCACTTAATATTAAAATCAGATTGCTTGTTCATATACTGACTGAGATGTAGTCTGAGAGTGGGAAACGGTGCTGCAATAGTTCTTTCTCCGTGGCAAATTCCAGTCAGTTAGTGTTGACCAATATGGAGAGGTCCAGCCCGAATCCACTGGTTTTTGGAGTGCCTCAAGGCTTGACACACTCATCTCTCCTGTAGTACATCTACAGGAAGCCACTGGTTGAGTCCATTCATTGATCTGGAGTCGGGTATCATCAGTATGCTGATAATACTCAACTAGATACTTGATCTTTGTGTCTGGAGGCTGTTGGGATCTGGATGGGGAGGAACAGGCTTAAATTTAACCCTGGCAAGTCCAAGTGGCTATGGGTTCATGGTTATACTGGTGCTGGAGGTTCTCCATCTTTAATTATGAATCAGATTATATTTCTCTAAACAGAACTTGTGCCCAATTGGGGATCTTCCTGGACTCTTGGATCCTGCTTGAAAAGAAGTGGCAACTGCAGCCAGGAAGGCACAGGCTTATCTGGAGCACTGATTGCACCATTTCCGGGACTGGTTTCTTCTCACCGTCTTCCATGAGCTCTATGTAGGGCTACATTTGAAGTCCATTTGGAAGCTACAGTTGATCCAGAATGCAGCAGCATGAGCAGTTATAGGCTCATAGTTGTATGCTTATTCCTACCTCTGCTATAGTATTTCTTACCAGTGAGCTTCTGGTTGCAATTCAAGGTCCCAGTTATCACCTGTGAAGCCTTTATAACATAGGGACTAGATGAGGGATCACCTCTCTCCCATCATATCTGACACAGCTGGCATGCTGTGTGTGCTATCTATCCATTAAGCAATGTCATCTGATGGGACCCAGGAAGTGTGCCTTCTCCATCACAGCACCTGTCCTCTTAAATAGCATTTTCTCAAAGGTTCAAATCGCTCAATTCTGCAAGCCTTTAGACAATCTCTGAAAACTTAGCTCTGTCATAGGTTGGTGGTGTGCCCATCTGAAGTATAGTGTTTGGTTTGGCAAGTGTATGTTGTTTCTTCTTCATGCAGTTAAGTGTATTGTTTAGTTAGTTTTTATTTTAAGGTACTGCATTTGTTTTTAATTTGTACACCATCCAGAATCAGTGCTGGGTTGGATGGCCTTATAAATCAAATAAATAAATTTTGCTACGTGCTATGTGCAAAAAATGTACAATCAAATTCCTTGCATTTGCAAAGGAGGCACATCAGAAACTTGATCCTGAAATGCTAAAGCTCATTTACTTCTGAAATATGAAAATAGTTTTTGAAAAAAATGCAGCCTTATGGCATATTTTATATGCAAAACATTGCTATTCTTCTCTCCTAATATCTGATCATGAACTTTAGGGTAAAGTGATTATAATTATTCTTCCACACCTTTACTGTTGTGCTGGACCACAGCAATTTGAATACTATAAATTATTCTTCAGATACCTTAAAATGAAAAACATAATCTTGAAGAATTTATAACTTAAATGCTACTTGTTGGAATTTTTAAAAAATCTTTTTACAGGCCTTGAGTAAGGTTTTGCTGTAATATTTCTGAGTTACATAATGCCAGACTTGCAAAAAGAAAAATCTTGAAAGGGAAATCAGTGTTGCCAGATTTTTGAACACACATATTGTGTCTAGGAATACAGTGAAAAATCTCCCCATTCTCCTTTCTCCAACTATCTCCAACTTTCTGCAAATAGCAGGATTTTACTATCAGCAGGGAAGAAAAAAAATAGGTGAGGGCAACAGCAGCGGAACACAGCTGAAAAGTTTAGACTGCATCTTCCCTAAAACAAATTACAAATAATGAGATCTGGCATGCAAACTCAAAGTCAACTGTCAAATGGACAGCGGAAAGATACCTCTAAGGTTAGCCTTATTCCTATCCAGGACTTCTGTGATTTCTTAAAACTAATAAGAACATCACTGTTATTTTATTTAAAAATGAAACACAAACCAATTTTTAAAACCTTTGATGCTGTGACAGTGCAAACAGCATTCAATTTTATTGCTCAATTTCTGCATGAGTACATACTTAAAACATTTTATACAGATTTATTGTTAAAGCTCATGTAACAGCTTGGTGAAAATACAATAATATCAATGCTAAACACATTCTGCAATAAATACAATAGAAATGGAACTAAAAAAATGTGTCCGTTTGTGGAAGAAGGAAATATACCAAGTATACATTTGTTTTAGTCAAACAAAACTTTTAGGATGTGGCAGAGTCAGAAATCTTCTAATAAACAATATGTCTTAAGTACAAATTGAACCTGTTAACTATATAGTGCAGTTCAAAGTCTGTAGCAATGATGTCATGCTACATTACAATACGTGATATAGAAGCACAAGTTCCTTCCATTAATGCAGCCAGTTTAACTGCACCACAGGTTTAACAGATATAGTGTTGCAGAATAAAAAACAAAAAATCCTGTGTGCTCTGGACTCTAGTACAAACACAAATGTTTGGTAAAAATAAAATCAGTTTAGAGAAACTGAACCTATGTGCAAAAAATAGAATACATACTGTACAAAGCACCATTACAAAACTTTACACCTAGAAATTAAACTTGAAACGCGTCTGAGTACTTATCACTGAATCCTAGCAAATTGTTACTATTCATATTAACACATTCATTCATGAAAAGAAAGCACGGAAATGTGAGGTGGCATCTCTCTTAACCATTCAATCCATGTTCAGAATTGATGAAGAAATCCTATAGGAAAAGGGGTACAATGGAAATAAATATTCACATTTAAACCTAGGGTAAAAATCCAAAGGTCCAGCATAATATTTAGCACTGGGAAAAGAGGCATGGCTATGCGTCTGCAATGGATGGGTTGAGAAAAGCTTCTGGTAGGTCGTGTGCTTTAAAGCTTTTAATTGTTATGCAGATAAAAAGGCACTCAGAAGACCTGAGAATTCTATTTGCATTCGTCTGCTTGGTGTTGGTCAAAGCAAGATGCAGGTATAGTTTCATTTTGCCTAATACGTAGAGAATTAGACTAGTGCTGTAATAGAAGGTTCTCTGAACACAAAGTATTTGAAGTAGAGTAACAGTGAAGTTGCTGTTGAACACAAATTTTGGAATGAGACCAGGTTGGATTTGCCTTCCCCAAACTTAACTCATTGTCTTCACTGTCATCAAATTCTTTTAGCTCTCAATTTCCATTCTAAGATTGCTAGGTTTCATCCTATTCAAAATGGATGCATCCTTAAATGAGATAGGGCAAGGCTATTACCTCCAATCTAATGGTAAGACTGCAGAAAAGGAAGAACAGATTGATTTTCCTTACAGAGCAAGAAACAAAGTGGGTTTTAGATACAATCTGGTTATCCAAGAAGCTCTCAAGGAGCTTGTGTACAAAACAAAGGACCTGAATGGTAAACTGTAAAAGGCAAGAATCCACCTTCAGAGGTGTCCAACACTCAGTGCTCAATGGTGTATGAAAACCAATGCTCCATTAGTTCTTCATTCAACATCTAGAAAATAATCAAATCAATGCTATTCCTGAAACCTGAAAGATCAGCTGAAAAAGGCAGAGATTATCCCAGAGATGATCTGAAAGAAAAGACAGCTTCAGACAGGCACAAAAGAAGATATCCTAACGGAATATGGGCTTGTTCCTTATCAGGCTCAAATTTACTCCATCAGGGTTGGATAACATGGTGCTCAACAGATATTTTGGAGTAAACTTCCACAATCTACCACTCACTGTGCTGGCTGGAATTGCTAGAAGATGAAATCCAAAAACATCTGAAGGGCAACAAATTCCCTACCCTGGAACTAAGCTGTCACACATGGCCTCAGTAGCAGGCTTTGAATAACTGTAATGCTGTAGAGCCCATGAACTGCAGCCTAATCTACCAGAAACTTTATTTGTTCTGTTCAACTATGAATCATAAATAGACCATCTATCATCACCAACTAGTTTACAACAACTGTCTAATTTGTGCAATTGCTTTATTCCAATATTTCTGCCTTCTACATTGAACGGTATCATGAAATTCCTTTAAGAAGAAATAGTCAAATGAAAACTATATTTTATCCTCGTTTCTCTATCTCAAAATGCAATTATGTGCCTGATGGAACTGGCAATTGCCACACAACCTGCTGGACTCCAGGATCAGCATTTGGACCAAGTCAGAAAAGAAACACTACACAGTGAACATGCTTTGCCCTATTTGCATTTTCTTCACATTCTTTTAAAACATTTACTTAAAGAAGAAATACCAAAGACCAGCAAAGCTACACAGTTTCCGAAGTATACTTGGCACTCTTGATTATTAATCATTACAATAAAAAAAGTGGTGGCTTCCAATTAGTTACAGAGCATGCATGGCTTTGCTTACTGTCCCTTGCTTCTCAGTGGAAAGGTGAGCAGCTGAACTGTAAGTTCTCAACATTGCTGAATGAGGGCTAGTTCACACATGCAAGCTCTACTTTAATCTGCCACACAGGTAAGTAGAACATATAATTATGGAAAATACTAGCACTAACCAATGCTGATACTGGTGATGATATTCAGCCATTTTGACACCAGATGTTGCTCTCTTCATAGCAGCCACACAGAATTACAAGGAAAGCTTAAATATGTGAGCTATCTTCAACAAATGCACATTTTAACAATTAAGAACTGTATTCAAATGTACATGGCCACCATAAATAGAATGTGCCTTTTGTTTTTTAAGCATTCTCTATGTGCTTGCATTAAAACAAAGACAAATTCCTATGTATCTGAGTCAGCTACTTAACGGAGTACATTACACCACATCTGCATTTCATTTCTGAATCTACTGCATCGTGTTTTTTTCCCTTATTTGTCACTACCACAAACTCATAGACTACAAGCAGTTAAAAGTAAAGGCAATTTTATCTGGATAAGATTTTTGAGCAACAACTAATATACAGTGCAGGTTGGTTGTATCTCAACAAAAAAGCTTTGGTTGGTTTGACATCCACAGAGTGTTTTGAACAATCAATTGATGATCTATGAAGGCTAATGATATCATCCATATATATTTAGGAGTCTAAAAAATGCAGCAGTTCCATTTAAAATGGAAAGCAATTCTTTAAAAAAACCGCCTCAAGTATTGACTTTTTACAAAAATGCTCATTTAAAAAATGCTGAACACCTACATTTTTAAAAAGGGCTTTCCACATTTACCACAAAGTACTGTACCAAATGCAGTGCAATTTAACTCAGACTAAGATTCTGCTAGAGAAATCTGACAGGAGAAAAAGACCCAAACCCTGTAATTCATGCTTGAGAAATATAAAAATTCTGACACAAGGACCACTGAAATTGAACTAATAACACAGAATAAAGTCATTCACGATAAGAAAATACAGTTCATACTGTGAAGTGGCCTTACTTTAAAAGGTTTATGATTTGTTTAGCCAATTTTATGCAAAAATTAGAATCATCAAAATATTTTATTTAAAAAAATAGCAGGTACAGGTGCTGTTCAGAATCACATATTTATATAAGTAAGCTGGAACGTGGCTTGTACCAACAGCTGTCCCTTGGATCTGTGATAGTAGAAATCAGGTAAGCAAATAGATCAGATCACCTTTTACAAAAATAGTAGTCGTCTTTTAAAGAGAATACTGCTTAACTGTTGAAATGAAGGAAAAGTCAGCATTCTGTATGTTCAAGATATTAGTTTTTAATAGCAGCTGAATTATTCCTTGGCAGGAGCCACAGAACATTTTCTTGAATGAAGAATTCCAAAAATTGTCCTTTCCCTCATATCGTCCTATAGTAGAAAAAGGGGGAAGAAAGTTTCCTATATTTCAAGCATTTATTGTATCATGGCTGAGGAAAGGATTTTCTGCTTGGAGTATAAATACAGTTCCATGTAGGTCCACAAATGATCATTCCACAGCAAACCCACATGTTTCTTCAATGGCGGTTAGCAGCTTTTCATAGAGCTTCTCATAACTTTCGTAAGGAGGAATGTCTATACGATTGAAGCTGCAAGCAAATAACAAAGAATAAGCATTTCAACTTATAATTTTCATGGATCAAATAAGCAGTGCAACTAATACTGATTAACTATGATAAGCTACGTAGTTTTAATGCTATATATGGTGTGTTATTGTTATAAGACACAGTTCCTAAGGACTATTCCCCTACAGAACAGGAACTAGGTCCAACTAGCAGAAGACAGATGTTTGAACAACATAAATGAAACTGGTTATTTACCTATAACTGGAGTTCTTTGGTCATCTGTGAATCTACACATATAGGTTATGCATCTTTGCAGTCCATTTAGAACCTTTTAGAGCTTAGAGGCAGTGTGGTCAAGTTGTAACAGAGTTGGACTAGTAGGGAGACCCAGCTTCATGCCCACCCTCAGCCACAGATTCATTTTGGGCCAGTCACACTCTCACAGCCCAGCCTTCCCCACAGAGTTCTTGTTGTAGGGAAACACAGGCTTTGTTCTTCACTTAGATATAAACCAATACTAAACAAAAATGATAGAACAAAATATTATAGAAAGTTCTAGAGCCACCCATGCATATTACATTACTAGGCACAGTTCCTACTGGACTGTTCAGTTCAGAAGAGCAATACTTATCCAAAGAATTAGGTCATCTGAGACCAAGAAGAATTTGAGGATGGGATCTATAAATATACAGATAATCACTTAAAAACTGCAGTTACACATAAGTAACTATTTCTTCATTATGGGCTCCGTGATTCACACAGATGGATGAGTAGCAAGCAACTTACCTGGAGGTGGGCTTGCATAGTCATCATTACTTAACCAGAGAGAGGATGATCCTTGCAAAGACAACATTTCTCTGGGAGATGCAGATCCAGTCTATGCTGAGCCCATGTAGCTGCCTGGCAAAGCTTCAGTAAGTGAATGCTTTGGAGGAAAGCTGTTGGTTGCTATTACTCTTGAGAAATGAGCATGATTTGGAAGGGGCACTGCCGCTAAGCCAGCTTGTAATCAAGCTTGATGGTTGCTACTATGCATTTAGAGAAATGCTGGTGGGAGAGCACGAGCCCTTAGATAGATCTTGGAAGGCCAGAAATAACTGCTGGTCCTGACAGAATAATGTTATACTGTACGTGTCAGGCCTAGCCCAAGGAACTCCTGGAGACCGTGCAGGTTCAATCAGCAAGGTTTA